CTCCAAGGATTTCATCCTGATACCTAATAACAGTCAGGGTGCCATTGTCTAGCCTGTAGAGGTCTGTGCGTCCCTCCATGGATATGCCTCCCCAGACCATCACTGACCCACCACCAAACGGTCATGTTGAACGATGTTACAGACAGCATAACGTTCTCCACGGCTTCTCCAGACTCTTTCACATCTGTCACTCTTTCTGATTGTTTGGTCAGACATTTACACCAGTGGCCTGCTGGAGGTAATTTTGTAGGGCTCTGGCAGTGCTCATCCTGTTCCTCCTTGCACAAAGGAGCAGATACCAGTCCTGCTGATGTGTTAAGGACCTTCTATGGCCCTGTCCAGCTCTCTTAGAGGAACTGCCTGTTTTCTGGAATCTCCTCCATGCTCTTGAGACTGTGCTGGGAGACACAGCAAACATTCTGGCAATGGCATATTGATGTGCTGTCCTGGAGGAGTTGCACTGCCTATGCAACCTCTGTAAGGTCCAGGTATCGCCTCATGCTACCAGTAGTGACACTGACCCCAGTCAAATGCAAAACTAGTGAAAAACAGTCAGAAAACATGAGAAGGGAAAAAAATGTCAGTGGCCTCCACCTGTAAAACCATTCCTGTTTTGGGGGTTGTCTCATTGTTGCCCATCTAGTGCACCTGTCGTTAATTTCCTTAACACCAAAGCAGCTGAAACTGATTAACAACCCCTCTGCTACTTAACTGACCAGATCAATATCCCAGGAGTTGAATTGACTTGATGCTATACTCTGATTACAAAGTGTTCCTTTCATTTTTTTGAGCAGTGTATATTCATGGTGACCTTACCTTATCTCCCAAGACAAGTGTTTTCCCCTTTTACATCTGTGCCATGTGTTAGCGTACATTAATGTGCATTGCGTTGAAGCAGCCCACTCATTTAAATGAGCAACTATTATACTACAAATGAAATGCCAATTGTTTATGATACACAGTACTTTTGAACACCAAATGTAGTCTGGGATGTCCTTAGGGATTCACATCTACTTTAAAGTGAACCTGTCACTTTATGGGTGTTTCTAAAATAAAGGCAGTATGTAAGATGCTATTTGCTTATATTAGAAATTCTGTATATAGTCCTACAGAACAAACAGTGCACAGTCCACATCTGTATTTCTGCTTCACTGCAGCACAGAAACCAAGAAACTTTCTTTCCAGAGAAAAGACATACAGTATACCATAGATGCAGCTACAAACCTATAAACACTGCCATCTACTGGTTGAAGAATATATTTCTACTGAATACTGATGTAGTTGTTGCACAAAATACATGACCACTCTCTGCATTGCTGATTCCCATTCTCCAAAGGTAGCACAATACCTGCTCCTCTCACTGTGTTCCTCCCGCCAGCTCTTATGTCACTACAGAAACGGGGATGCAGCGGGTAAAAATTAGGGACACAACTGAAGGGTCGAATACCCGTGGGGCCTCAGATCAGCAGCCAGGCAGAGTTTTTACACACAGGCCGCTGGAAAGGTATACAGCATCATTTTTTACATGTAGTATTGATCCTGTATAAACAGTATCACTTTAAAGTGTATGTAACCCCTGTAGCGCTCTCCTGAGAGGGGTAGCTGATAATATGCTCAGGTGTCCCTTACTAGTACAGAGGCTGCCAGTCACAAGCACAGTTCTCTGCAAACCAACAGCATAAGCTCAGGGTACGGGATGTCTTTTTAGAATTTATTGCGAAATAACAAGAGAGGGGTTCAGGGGTTTCAGGAAATTCTAAAACAATAATCACTTTCAATAGGAGGACAAACTTCAAAATACATTCTTATAGCAGCAGTCACACATTAAAGTCCCAACCAGATCTTATTCACAATGTCCCAGGAGCTGTCTGCCACCTTCACCTGTCTGCCTTCACAAATAGATCCTCAGTGAAGGAGATTAAAGATCCTTCTCCAGACCAGGATTTCAGAATAGTGCCCTCCAGCAAAATCCATCAATCTTCTCCAGGACCCCAGTTCAGCTCCTGCTGAGGCCCAGACTGCAGCTCTTGTCTCCGTTTAGCCATCTCCCAATGGCAGCAGTCCCAGGAGATCTGGATCCCTCCCTGAAGAGGAAAGAAAACTCTGTAAAGGCCTCCCAAATATTTTTTACACCTCTCCACCAGATTCTGGATGCCTCTTTCCAGGGATTGGCTGGGACATGATAAATATTCATACTGGATATTTGACTCTCCCTGTCCTATATTCTGGAAGCTTCTCCCAGAATCAGGAGAGAGAAATCAAACACTCAGTTAGGAAACCCTGACCAGCCAAAAACAATAGATCACCACTCCACTGAATGCAGTGAAGCTGAAAACGAAATTCACCCTAGCAGCCTAAGAGGGCGCTACACCCCTAAAAATTAACTTCTCTTATTTGCTCCCTTTTGGTCTGTTAAATATACTGATATAGGTGTTTTAATGTCTGTTCAAGAATTAAAAAAAAACTCCTGTTTATTCTGCCAAAAAGCTTGTAACTGATAACTTCCTGTGCTCTTTACCTTTGCTGATTCTTATCAGTTAGCATTTTTGCCAGCTATCTGTGTGGTCTACAGAACATCTCTCACTTATGTTATGGAGAAGAGGAGAGGGGTATTATGTAGTCCTAAAACACTTCCTGCATCAGGGTGACAGCATTGCTCCTGTATGGATACAGTACAGTAAGTGAGTGTTGTCTCTCTAGGAAAGGAAATGTGTTACAGGTAGGATTGCCAGATAGAAATAAAAAAAAGAAAACGAATGCAGCCACCACATCTAAGGATAGGTAAGCTGCAATATATAAAAAAGTTTTCTTGGGTCTAAACACACTTTAAGTATGCACACAGTAAATGAAGTCCTGTTCTGCTTTCTTCTTTCTGATTTATGATGTAAAAACTATTTCAGAAGAATAAGTATGCAATGGCAGCCTACATGTTCCCCAGTGTAGGTGTCCTTTAACTGAAATCTTAATAATTTCTTGTTTTTTATATGAAATTCTTATCTATAAGTGAGTTAAAAAGTGCAAAAGCAAAAACGCTATACATTCACTTTTACACTGCTAAACAAATTGTTTGCTAGCAACATTATCTTGACCTACAAAGATGAAAAACATTGTCTATATATTAGCGATTCTTTCATATAATGTACAATTTTTTTTTATTTTAGATATTATTATATTGATATAGTGGGTCTTTAAAGTAGACCTAAAGGGGTATAGCAAAAGTAACTGGAAGGGCAGTCTCTAATATGGTTCTTCGGCCGGCTACCATTGGGGCCCTTTAAGAACTTTGGTTCAAGTCCCATTTGAGAACCCCCTTGGTTCCTTACGTGCCCTGAAGCATATAGGGGTCTTTGGTTCAGAAACCCAGTTGTTCCTTTACATGTCTGTTGCTATGGACTACACCTACCAAGAGTCTCAACATCCTGCATGGAAGTCTATGGGTTTCTTGGCTTTTGTTCTCCTGCTACTGACCGGAGGAGAATAGTGCAGCATAACTTAAGTACAGAACAGAATAAAAGCAATATCTCCATACTGTGGTAGTCCAGAACTTGGTTACACATACAGTATATACCCATGAGTAGTGGTTTCTTCAGTACAAGTGAGAATTAAACGGTCAGCCACTGTTACTACAAGCGGGTATAAATCAGAAAGAGAACAAGGTTCTCCTTAAAGTGCATCTGAACACATGAACAAAAATATAATATATTACTGATTACCAATCCTAAAATGTGGTGGTGCATTTTTTTTATATAGAGGAAAAGTGGTGTCACCATAGGACAGGAAGCGTGTTAGAACTACAGAACACCCTCCCTTCTCCTCATCTCCATAACATAGGGGGAGGTGTTCCTGGGGTACTGGAACATTTAAAGATTTAGCTTTTAGGGCAGTAAAATAATGTGCTAAGATTCTAAGATGTAAACCAAGCTCAACCAACAGGTAAGCCACAATTTCCCCATTCAGCCTGTTATCTGTGTCCTTGTTTTCTGTTTCATTTTCTCTCGCTGTAAACATCCATTTAGAATGTGACCTATATAGAACAAAAAACACATTTTCCCGAATTTTAAGAACTATCCACATGCTGTTTATAAAATCCCCTAATATTTTCAAGGTAATTTAACTTTACTGTTTGTGGTGTGTGGCTGATTATGAAACATCACAAATATTGATAATGTATTGGAAAATAAAATGAAAAAGAAAAAAAAATTCCAGGAAAGTTCTATTTTTAGCCGAGTTTTAATATGATGATAGGTACTTTTAAGTTAAAGCTGAACTCCGGACTAAACAAATCTTATCTAAGTACAAGAGCCTTGTGTATTCGTATATTGTGGAATGTTTTGTGTACTTTTTCTAAATCTGTGTAGAAATTCAGCATGAAACAATTCCATCACTTTGCCTCTGTGCAGAGTTTATTGTAATCAAGACCACTCACTGCTTCTCTCTGTTCCTGTACAGCAGTGGTTCTCAACCTTTCTAGCGCCGCGACCCCTTAATACAGTTCCTCATGTTGTGGTGACCCCCAACCATAAAATTATTTTCGTTGCTACTTCATAACTGTAATTTTGCAGTAGGAGGAATAGTGCCACGTCATTGGTGTCATTGGGAGGAATAGTGCCCCATCATTGGTATCAGTGGGAGGAATAGTGCCCCCTTCATTGGTGTCAGTGGGGGGAATAGTGCCCCCTTCATTGGTGTCAGTGGGAGGAATCGTGCCCCGTCATTGGTGTCAGTGGGAGGAATAGTGCCCCGTCATCGGTGTCAGTGGGAGGAATAGTGCTCCGTCATCGTGTGTCAGTGGGAGGAATAGTGCCCCATCATCGGTGTCAGTGGGAGGAATAGTGCCCCATCATCGGTGTCAGTGGGAGGAATAGTGCCTCATCATCGGTATCAGTGGGAGGAATAGTGTCCCATCATCGGTATCAGTGGGAGGAATATGTGCCCCATCATAGGTGTCAGTGGGAGGAGGAATAGTGCCCCATCATAGGTGTCAGTGGGAGCAGGAATAGTGCCCCATCATTGGTGTCAGTGGGGGAGGGAGGAATAGTGCCCCATCATTGGTGTCAGTGGGGGGAGGAATAGTGCCCCATCATTGGTGTCAGTGGGAGGAATAGTGCCTCATCATTGGTATCAGTGGGAGGAATAGTGCCCCATCATTGGTATCAGTGGGAGGAATAGTGCCCCATCATTGGTATCAGTGGGAGGAATAGTGCCCCGTCATTGGTGTCAGTGGGAGGAATAGTGCCCCGTCATTGGTATCAGTGGGAGGAGGAATAGTGCCCCGTCATTGGTATCAGTGGGAGGAATAGTGCCCCGTCAGTTGGTGTCAGTGGGAGGAATAGTGCCTCGTCATCGGTGTCAGTGGGAGGAATAGTGCCTCGTCATCGGTATCAGTGTGAGGAATAGTGCCCCGTCATCGGTATCAGTGGGAGGAATAGTGCCCCTTCATCGGTATCAGTGGGAGGAATAGTGCCCCATCATCGGTGTCAGTGGGAGGAATAGTGCCCCATCATCGGTGTCAGTGGGAGGAATAGTGCCCTCATCATTGGTATCAGTGGGAGGAATAGTGCCCCATCATTGGTGTCAGTGGGAGGAATAGTGCCCCATCATTGCTGTCAGTGGGAGGAATAGTGCCCCATCATTGGTGTCAGTGGGAGGAGGAATAGTGCCCCATCATTGGTGTCAGTGGGGGGAGGAATAGTGCCCCATCATAGGTGTCAGTGGGGGGAATAGTGCCCCATCATTGGTGTCAGTGGGGGGAATAGTGCCCCATCATAGGTGTCAGTGGGGGGAATAGTGCCCCATCATAGGTGTCAGTGGGGGGAGGAATAGTGCCCCATCCTTGGTGTCAGTGGGGGGAGGAATAGTGCCCCATCCTTGGTGTCAGTGGGGGGAGGAATAGTGCCCCATCCTTGGTGTCAGTGGGAGCAGGAATAGTGCCCCATCATTGGTGTCAGTGGGGGGAGGAATAGTGCCCCATCATTGGTGTCAGTGGGGGGAATAGTGCCCCATCATAGGTGTCAGTGGGAGGAATAGTGCCCCATCATAGGTGTCAGTGGGGGGAGGAATAGTGCCCCATCATTGGTGTCAGTGGGGGGAGGAATAGTGCCCCATCATTGGTGTCAGTGGGGGGAATAGTGCCCCATCATAGGTGTCAGTGGGGGGAATAGTGCCCCATCATAGGTGTCAGTGGGGGGAGGAATAGTGCCCCATCCTTGGTGTCAGTGGGGGGAGGAATAGTGCCCCATCCTTGGTGTCAGTGGGGGGAGGAATAGTGCCCCATCCTTGGTGTCAGTGGGAGCAGGAATAGTGCCCCATCATTGGTGTCAGTGGGGGGAGGAATAGTGCCCCATCATTGGTGTCAGTGGGGGGAATAGTGCCCCATCATAGGTGTCAGTGGGAGGAATAGTGCCTCGTCATTGGTATCAGTGGGAGGAATAGTGCCCCATCATTGGTATCAGTGGGAGGAATAGTGCCCCATCATTGGTATCAGTGGGAGGAATAGTGCCCCGTCATTGGTGTCAGTGGGAGGAATAGTGCCCCGTCATTGGTATCAGTGGGAGGAGGAATAGTGCCCCGTCATTGGTATCAGTGGGAGGAATAGTGCCCCGTCATTGGTATCAGTGGGAGGAATAGTGCCCCGTCATTGGTGTCAGTGGGAGGAATAGTGCCTCGTCATCGGTGTCAGTGGGAGGAATAGTGCCCCATCATTGGTATCAGTGGGAGGAATAGTGCCTCGTCATCGGTATCAGTGTGAGGAATAGTGCCCCGTCATCGGTATCAGTGGGAGGAATAGTGCCCCATCATCGGTATCAGTGGGAGGAATAGTGCCCCTTCATCGGTATCAGTGGGAGGAATAGTGCCCCATCATCGGTGTCAGTGGGAGGAATAGTGCCCCATCATCGGTGTCAGTGGGAGGAATAGTGCCTCATCATTGGTATCAGTGGGAGGAATAGTGCCCCATCATTGGTGTCAGTGGGAGGAATAGTGCCCCATCATTGCTGTCAGTGGGGGAATAGTGCCCCATCATTGGTGTCAGTGGGAGGAGGAATAGTGCCCCATCATTGGTGTCAGTGGGGGGAGGAATAGTGCCCCATCATAGGTGTCAGTGGGGGGAATAGTGCCCCATCATTGGTGTCAGTGGGGGGAATAGTGCCCCATCATAGGTGTCAGTGGGGGGAATAGTGCCCCATCATAGGTGTCAGTGGGGGGAATAGTGCCCCATCATAGGTGTCAGTGGGGGGAGGAAAAGTGCCACATCCTTGGTGTCAGTGGGGGGAGGAATAGTGCCCCATCCTTGGTGTCAGTGGGGGGAGGAATAGTGCCCCATCCTTGTTGTCAGTGGGGGGAGGAATAGTGCCCCATCCTTGGTGTCAGTGGGGGGAGGAATTGTGCCCCATCGTTGGTGTCAGTGGGGGGAGGAATCGTGCCCCATCAGTGGGGGTGGGGGTGTCAGTGGGGGAGGAATAGTGCCCCATCGTTGGTGTCATTTGGGGGAGGAATAGTGCCCCATCGTTGGTGTCAGTGGGAGGAATAGTGCCCCATCATTGGTGTCAGTGGGAGGAATAGTGTCCCATCGTTGGTGTCAGTGGGAGGAATAGTGCCCCATCATTGGTATTAGTGACACCAATGATGGGGCACTATTCCCACTGACACCAATGATACTTACCTTGCAGACCCCTGCTCCAGCCTGGGCTCGCTCGCTCCCTCCCTCTCCCATGGTACCGACACTTACCTGTCAGATGTCTTCCTTCTCCGGCCGCTCTCCTCCTCTTCACTCGCTCGATCTTCACGGTGCCGCTCGGCTCCTCCTCTCCAAGCTCCACCTCCTTGCCGGGATTGATTGGCCGCCTGTGTGCCTCTCCTGAGCTACAGTGCCGGCGGCCAATCACAGGCGAGGATTGATCTCGAGGTGTGTCCAGATGACAGGGGCGGCATGTCATCCCGCCCCCACACCTGGAGACGGCGGTGGCGGCGGCGGCGGCGAGGAGCGGTGTCTCGGTTCCTAAGACCATCGGAAATATGTGTTTTCCGATGGTCTTAGGCGACCCCTGTGGAAGCGTCGTTCGACCCCCAAAGGGGTCGCGACCCCCAGGTTGAGAACCGCTGCTGTGCAGGGTGACTGGTCTTGTATCCTCCCCCCTACTGTAGTTTTCTGCAAATAGCCTGTAGTAGGTGGAGCTGTTGAGTCCCACCCACAGCTCTGCTTTCTGTACAGGCTATGTACTGCGCAGTGATGATGTCATCAATACTTTTACAAGGTAATCTCTGGGCTTGCAAAGGCATTTGGTGCACACAAAGTTAATCTACATCATTTGGGGCTATTAGGAAATATATTTATAGGTAAAGTTTATAGGCAGGTGGAGTGGTAGAGTTCACCTTTAGGTGGGAAGGAGCAGGCAGGAAGGAGAAGGGAGGACAGCAAGAGTTGGGGGGTGGAGAAGAAAGCTAGGCCAAGAAGAGGCCTCCTAGGCCTGGAATTGCCCATGGGACATTCAGAGCTTTGCAGGGTCCCCCAAAGGACAGACGGAGAGACAGGTAAAGTGGTCTAAGGATCTTGGCCACATGCAGCTGCCCCCCCCCCCATGCCAGCCAGCATCAGTTAGATGGCTATTGATGTAATCCATTGTCCAGCCATTATGTGAAGAGCCATGGCTTGAAAATACTGACTGTATCTGATTGCACTACATTTAATAAGGACATTACATTATACTACAGCCTTGGAGTGCATTCATTTGGCCTACATCTTAGTATGCAGGCTCCCAATGGCTCCCATAGATCTGATCTCCCACTGAGTGCAGTATGGAGGACAAGGGAGATTCAGGTGCCCGGAGTGCACTGCGGATGCCGACACCCCCTTCAGATGATCTCCCTGCGAGTGAGAGGGGTGGAGCCACCTACAGTGGCCGGGGGGGGGGGGGGGGTACTAGAGTCACCTGGGTTCTTCAACTTAATACAGTAATAAAAGTAAAACATGTTGAAAAAGGTGGAGCTTTTAAGGAGAAGAGGAAGAAATGGGGGTAGTGGAAGGGGGGTTGCATGCAGAAAAAGAAGGCTGAATTCTGCACTCTGTATGCTGCACACCCTCTGCACTATATACATAGTGCACCCCCCCAAACTCTGCACATAGCGCACCCCTGAACTCTGCACTCTGTGTGCAACCTCCCCGAACTCTGCACTCTGTGTGCAACCTCCCCGAACTCTGCACTCTGTACGTAAAGCACTCATGGTATTTAATGCCTCTTTACGATCCTACCAGTGTTAGTGATATTTGACCACTATTGATGCAGTTTGATGGATGCATGGGGGGGGGGGGGGGGGGTTGGTGTAGTTCCTGCACATTTTTTCTGAAAAAAGCCCTGGAAACTACAGTAAGTAGAATTTTAAATTATTCTGTAGAGACCTACCCTAACTTCCTGTTCTTTCTGACACTAATCAAATAAACAGCAGAGAGTAACTAGAAAAGCTACAATTTCTGGGGAAAATTGTGTGAAGTGTTCTTGCCCCCACCAGTAGTCTACAACTGGAGTTGGCAGAGTAACTGGGTGGAGTGGCTGGAGTAACTGTTGTGTGGTTGGGGAGGCTGGAGTAACTGTGAAAAGGTCAATGGGCAGCGTGAGTTGCAAACAAATGGTCATATTGTGAAAACTATCAGGACTATGGCTTAGCCGTGGACATTTTTAGTGGCAGCAGGGATAACTAAACGTTTTGATGTAAGATTTGTGTAGGTGGGCTTGAAAAATGAGGGAGTGATGGCAGTTTAGAAATCATGTCCTCATTTTTCAGCTCACACTCTAGCTTTTGTCAGCTCCCACTCTAGTTTTGAACATTCCACCATTCATTCCTATGGGACCAATTTCACCACAAAAAAGCCGATATTTTGTGAACCGTTCGGCAAAACTTAGTAGTGTAAAAACTGTGGGAGGAGTTAGGGTGGTAAATTTGACAATCACAGGCTGTGTGCTGCAGCTCCCTCCCCTGTCACTTGTTTTACCTCTTGGTGTCAGGAAATCTCGTCAGAAGGTTCATACAGATAGCAGAGGAAGGAGGCAGCAGAAAGAAATGATACTTTGTGCTCTGGATTGAGACCATACATGCTATAGAAGGATATGCTTTGTTCATATTTCATGTCCCAACCTTGTTGTAACATTTTAGTGAAGGCCCTTTTCTGTTCCAGCTTGATTATACTCCTGGGCACAAAGCCGACTCCATAAAAATATGGTTTGACCAGTTTGTTGTGGAGGAACCTGAATGGCCTGCACCTCAACCCAACTGAACACCCTTGGGATGAATTGGAGAGCCTAATGCAAGTCAGGTCTTCTCTTCCAACCTCAAGACCCAACCTCCCCAATGCTGCTCTTCTGGCTGAGTGGTCCCAAATTCCCACAGATACACCTCAAAATCCTGTGGAAACCCTTCACAGAGAGTGGAGGCTTTTATAGGCCCAAAGAAGAGGTCAACTTCATATTAATGCCTGTGGTTTTGGAATGGAATGGAATGTCCGACAATCTCATATAGGTGTGATAATAATCAGGAGTCTTCAAAGTTTGATATATTTACTGAAACTGGAGAGTGCAAAATCTGGTGCAGCTCTGCATAGAAAACCAATCAGCTTCCAGGTTTTACCTCTGGTTCACATATATGAGGCCGTGAGGGACAAGTTTTGCATGGGCATGAGAGCCCATTCATTTGAATGGACTCCCGTGCCCGTGACACGCAGGGAGGAAAGTCCCTGCACTTCTTAGGAAACTGCAGCCCACACGGGAACCTCGGTTCCCAGTGCGGTTGCGGTTTCCTGTGCGGTCCTTAGAATTAATGGCACCCGTTTGTGGGTCCGCATTCTTCTGTGTGGGCGGTGCGGCTTCACTGATTTTTGTGCGGATCCGCAGCGGCACCACCCGCACATATATGATCCTAGCCTTATTGTCAAAGCTTAATTGAACAAGCTGATGTTCGAAGCTGATTGGCTCCCATGCAAAGCTGTGCCAGATTCTCAGTGCTCCAGTTATAGTAAATCGTTTCCATAGTGTATTTACTGTGCTGAATTGTGATTTTTTTTTTATCTAAATAAAGTACTGTAAAAATAATAAAGCACTCTTAATTCCCCAACAAAAAAATGTGATTTGTAAAAGCTACGTGTTGAAACAGAAGTGTTTGCAAAAGATTTTTATCTCTGATGATGAAAGGAAAGCAAATCAGAACGTTTGCATCATCATAATAAAATCTCTTGTGAAATTCTCTCAGATTGGTAGAACTCTGTAATATCACGTAGAAGTACAATGAGGAAAGGGAAGTATAATATATTTTCTGTACGTGTTTATTGCATTGTTAACTTGAAAGTCATTTTTAATGTGACGTTCACAATTTTTTTTACTTTTTTCACTTTTGTTACGTATTAATAGAAAAGAGGAATACTGACCTATCTGTCAGGAGTTGGTAGGCATTTTTGCTCACTACAAGAGCACTGGGTTATCTGACACTTCCAGGTGTGTCGGCTAGTGTGTCCCAACTGCTCGTGATGGTTCATCCGCTGACCCCTACACCACTACAGGACATAGTAGCAACATAGGGGTCCGTGGAGGCTGTACATACACTATAACCAAGCTTACTGGGTCAGAAGGCAACATTTCCCCCTTTGTCTTATTCTGGGCTGACAACAGTACTTTTTTCAGCGGAAACACGGGGGAGCACAGTTCTGGCACCTTCTGTATTGAATTCAATAATGGCATGGGGTGCTGGGGTGTGCTGGAGGATCTATTTATGCTGACAGCTAGGGGATCTATTCTTGCTGGGGGGATCTTTTGTTGCAGGTGGATCTATTGTTGCTGGGGAGTTCTATTGTTGCTGTTGGGGTCTAAATGTTGCCCCCCCCCCCCCCCCCCCCCCCCCCCCCCCCCCCCCCCCCCCCCCCCCCCCCCCCCCCCCCCCCCCCCCCCCCCCCCCCCCCCCCCCCCCCCCCCCCCCCCCCCCCCCCCCCCCCCCCCCCCCCCCCCCCCCCCCCCCCCCCCCCCCCCCCCCCCCCCCCCCCCCCCCCCCCCCCCCCCCCCCCCCCCCCCCCCCCCCCCCCCCCCCCCCCCCCCCCCCCCCCCCCCCCCCCCCCCCCCCCCCCCCCCCCCCCCCCCCCCACACCCCCCCCCCCCCCCCCCCCCCCCCCCCCCCCCCCCCCCCCCCCCCCCCCCCCCCCAAACCCCCCCCCCCCCCCCCCCCCCCCCCCCCCCCCCCCCCCCCCCCCCCCCCCCCCCCCCCCCCCCCCCCCCCCCCCCCCCCCCCCCCCCCCCCCCCCCCCCCCCCCCCCCCCCCCCCCCCCCCCCCCCCCCCCCCCCCCCCCCCCCCCCCCCCCCCCCCCCCCCCCCCCCC